TTCTCCGCGTTCGTTCACGGTTCTCGCTTCTTTTCCTAGTTTGTTCTTTTTTCCTTTCTCCCCTTCCTTTCTTCTTCGTCGCAGGGCGAGCAGGTAGCTCGTCTCTTGCGGTCCTGATTTCCTCAACTTCTTCCCTGCGACCCGGGGGCGAATACCTTCGAAAAAGCACGTATCTTACCCTCGCGTGGTCATTGTTCGGGAAGCCGTCATTGTGCGACCAAATCAAAGGGAATTCGAGTGCGTTTTCCTTGCATCCCGTTACATGACCGAGTGAGCTGCTCGCATCCCGAGACGAAGAAGACTCGGTCAATACGATTCGTATACGCATGGAGGAGAGCCGGCGAGAGAACAAGGCGAGGGGCGAAAAGGCAAAGAGGAACCTCGAAAAGAATCTGAACAGGTCGTGGGAGGAGTCGTGGGAAAATCGTTGCCAGTGTAAGACGTTTCCGAAGCCGCTTAGCTTCGCTTACCGTTTCATACACGTAACCATGTTTCCCTCGAAAAGTTTCATTCCCATTTTTCTATATTCTTTCACATTATCATTATGCGGTGAGGAACGTTGATTTTTTTATTAGTCTGCTAGAACGAAAGGGAGGAAATTTCATTAGTAATTGGTGTGAAAAAATAACACTTCTTCGTTTTCGAGGAAATCGCGTTTGAAAAGTATACTTGAATTTGGTTAATTTCGTATATCGAGAAGGAGCAACTATTCCACAGAGAACAAGAAATGTAGAATAAAATTTTTTTGTTTAAGGCTTCATCTTCGAGAAAATATTTCCAGTTATTTCCTTCTATTTACAGATATTAATTCGAATATATTTAAGAAATATTTGAATTCGATTCTCTTAAAAAAAAAAATGAAATAATGTATGAAACGTACTGTAATATTTTTAATATAATTATTTTGATATATTCCAATTCATTTCATTTTATGTTGAATATTTCACATCTTCACAGATTCTTTTTTATATAAAGTATCATTTAATTTAAGATTTAAAAGTCGTGGGAAAATTTCGAGTTGTTTTCCTTTATTGTTAGCTTAAGATTGTTGAAATTGTTTTTTGCTCATTTGATAAATTTTGCTCGTCGATGAACAATTTTAATTCATAATCACGTAGTCCATAATTTAGTGATTGTGGTATTAACCGGTTTGTGGAAAATTAGTTCAATTCATAATTTCGCGAGAGAAGTGAAGTTAATAAATACAGATCGGTTTGAAGTTGAAAAGTTCGTTTTAGCAAAGCATTTGAAACAGGTTTTGCATATCTTACAACCTAATTTCCATACGAAACCGTATGTAAATGGATCTTCATTCATAGACGCGTGAAGACCTCGGCCCCTTTGCAAAAAGATGGATTTCCTGATTTTGTAAAGAACAGAAGCGTTAGAAAACTTCTGGCTTACCCCTTGATTGAAAGAACCTAGTAAATCCGTGTCTCTATGCTGCAATCACGAATGAAAGGAACTCAGATTTCGCGATCCCCTTTTCTTCTAACGACTCTGTTGGAACCGTTACCAGAATTAACACTTGCCTTAAAGTGTTGATTATTGATGCAAACTGAGGCAATGACGATCGCTCTCTTAATATCAAAAAAACATTGGCAAACTTTGTAAAAACTAAACATAAATTTATAGAAACAATAAACTGTGCTTTCGACGATAATATTCTAATGAAAGTTCTCTCTTTTTTTTTTTTTTATTTCAGACTTCTTCTTTCAGAAATCTGAAAAATTCAAGTGAAGAAATTATATCGAACTGTTTTAAAGGAAATAGTGCCTAAATTATTTAAATATATTTTCGTTTGTCCAACTTTGTTTTTAATTTATAATTACATATTATCAATATTTTTTTTAAATAAAAATAAATAATTTGCAATATATGTTTTATTTAAGTATAATTTATAAATTTTTGAACCTGATTGTCTCGGAAACGAAGCTTTAAATGAGAAAAATGTTACCCTTTCTTTTCGACTTATTTTTTTTTTTTTCAATTACTTTCTGCTTGATTGTATCTCCAATAATTTATATTATTATGATGGAAATTATATCTAACGAGAAGTGACATAGCGATTGACTTCTGTAACCATGCAATGTGTAGTATGCCCGCTCACACTTCCCGTACGAGCAAACGAAATTAAACTGAAACATTTCATTTTCTCGTTTGGTTGAAACTTCGTGTGTTATTTCATGACAAGTAGCATCGGCGAGATGCGAATTTCGAGAATATCGCGAAAAAGCAGAAATCGGCAACTGTACGGCCGATGGTAACTGTACACTCGTATACTCGAATGCGCCTTGACCGTTTATTTTGAATTTGTCGCGAGTTCGATGACCGATGACGACGAACGACGGCCGTGAAGAAAGGTTCTGCCCGCGTAAGCATTCCTACATACATACATATATACATGCACACATGTAACGCATAAACACACGACGTGCATTCGTAATTTTGTTTCCAGTCCATCCCCTGTATCTCGATATTCATGCTTGAATTTCCCGCTTTCCCGCACGAATTGATCCTCTGATATTCTCGTTTCGTTTCGCAGTTCTGACGATCGAAATCTGGCAGTGGTGAACGAGAGAACCGGCCGCAACGATTCGGATCGGGAAGCAGAGACAACCGAGTAGTGCGGTTCGACGAAGAAAAACAGGATGAAACGCAACAGAAGGAAGAAAAAACACATGCTTTTTATGCATAATAATTTCCCCCCCCCTTTCGAACTCTGTGTTTTCTTAATTGGAAAATCTCGTTCTTTCGCTTCTTTGTTCAAGTTCATTTCTCCTGTTAATTTACAACTTGCTGTATAATTTGAGGGATGAAGTTATTTTTGTCGTACGTACGAAGGAACAGCTATTGGATGTAGAAATTAGAAATCACGGTGAATTACTGAAATGATACATGTGTATATGTAGCACGTGAAACGTGTATTAAGTACGAGAGTCCGTGTTCTCTAATACACGTGTAAACGTGTAAGCGCGCGTGAACCGTGTATTAAAATGTTAAAGATCGTGTTTGCTTGATACAGAATGGCCCAATAAGAATTATCACTTGAATATCTCCATTGTTTCTCGGAGATGTAAAAGAACTTTATTAATAATAATTGTCAGTATGCAGGAGAGTTATTCAGGCGAGTTTTTCACTCGACAACTGAATTTTTTAATTTTCATATCAATCCAATATGTGTAAATTATTATTGTACAATTACTGTTGCTGTCACATTCACAAGTTGTTATTCTATACTCTCTATACTATTTTCTCGTTCAATAATCGAACTTTCAATTTTTAAATTCATATGCAAGTACAAATGCAAATTAGTCAAATACAAACACGTTGTTTTTTTTTTTTTAACGAACTTGACAAAATCTCAATCACCTCAACAGTCAAAAAGAATATATTATTTCTTTCAATAACAATTGACAAACGTGTAGATTATCAAGGGGGAAAAGCGCTGAAATTAATTTCTACATGTCCGCGGAATCAGAATAAAGAAAAAGAGACTAAAAGACGAGAAGAGCCGAGCCGATTCCGAATAAATAAGAGAACTTGGGGGAGGGGAGGGAGAGGATAAGATTCGAAGGTAAAGGTGCCGCAGTGAGTTCAGCGGAGGACACCTGCGTCAGAGACGAAACAGTGTTGATAATCCGCCTTATCCTAAAACAGGATCGACCGTGAGATTCCGTAGGCGTGTCAAGGCATCTTAGACCTGGTCCATAACCGTGTCTTCCTTATATTTAACCACGCTGCTCACTTTTCCTACCTACCACTCTTCCCTCTCCCTCTTCTTCGTTATTCTCGGAAATTTTTCTCTTTCTTTTTTCTCGTGCGTGTCGCCAGCATCCAAGAAAGGTAAGCATGATTCAACGATTCGCGATCTACTCTCGTTTGCTTCCATTATTGTCTAAATTGTCTGTCTCAGGTTAGGTTTAGGTTAGGTTAGGTTTAGGTTAGGTTTAGGTTAGGTTTAGGATAAATACGAAGGCAATCATTTTCCGTTTAGCTTCTCCGCGCTTTTCAGTTCATTCCTCCAATTGTATCGCCCCATCCTTTATTTCTCTCTTTTTTTTTTTTCTTGCTTCTGTTCTTCTTCTTTTTTCTTTTTCTTTTTCCATCCGACTCCTGACATCCGGAGAATCGACGAGCTTGAGGTTAAGGTGGGACGATAAGCCAGTGAAAAATGAAAAACCTGTTCCTCTTCCTGTCTTGGGATGAGACGGTGGTCATTACATGCTCGAGCGCACACGGAGGTCTCAAATATAGGTACCTGCCACTGGCCGTGAGTATCACGAGAGGCTATTCGAAGGATATGAGAAAAACCTTGAGTCGACCGGAAGCTAGTATCCCGATAGACCACCTTATACAGGGGGGG